GTAGGCAGAAAACCACAGCTAGCAGTATGTGATCTGAAATGAGGAGGCAAAGTCCTCACTGTTTATAATGCTTTAGTTTAATCCAGTGTAAATGAATGTTTCAGTTCCGCTTAATGTTAGCACATCTTCCAGGTTAAATAAATAAATGTTACCTACACTTTCAAAAAAAAAAAACAATAGCCAAAATTTTAATTTGTATTTTTATATTACAAATGCAATTAATGTTTTATTTTTTAAACCTAAGAATATATCTCATCAAGTTTTTAAAGCAGTTTTACATTTATTCCAAAAGAGCAACTATAAAAACCCCATAACAACTTTCAGATTTCATGCCTATTTTATTTGTGAATTGTTTATTTTTAATAGTCAGCTTATTTTCGGATCATCAGTCATCAAAGCTCGGTCAACATAACAGATGTCATGACGGTCACAGACACATGGATGTACCTTTAAAACAGTGTAAAAGGCCAAGCATAGTGCGATGGAGGCATTGCCTCCTCTCATGACTTTCCTCCATTCATTCTCGATTACCACCCACCAAACCCTTTACGATTTACACATGCTCTCAGGAAGTCTGTTAAAACCCAATGGGCTCAAAGCAGGCAAAAGAGACACTGCCTCCCACTGTGGCTTCAACAGCTGGAGACTCTGTCGGACAGTGTCATTTAACGAAAAAATCTATACACTTTTTAAAGTCAAACTTTGTAATATTGGCATTGTTAATTTTTGTTCTGTGCATATTTTCTCATTTAATTATTTTGAGGAGGCAGTGCCTCCCTCGTGTCCTTGGAGGAAACGCCACTGCCTGAGAATCAAACCTCAACTGAAATGACTTCAGAAAAACACGTTCACAGTAGGACGGCTCTGCGACTGGCAGACTGAATCTCTCAGTGTTAAACGCGTGCGGATGAGCAGCTGTACCTGCAGAGGCGTCTGATGTTGCCAGGTGTGACCTCCAGCGTGAAGCATTCGCCGCCGTTCACGCAGTAGTTCCTCTCGCTCTCGCTGCAGCGCGTCACATGACTGGAGGTCTTGGCTGAGGGAGTGGTGCTGGTGGCCGCTGCACAGATCAACACAACACTTAAGTGCACTGAGCAGGGAACAGTTTTACTGCAGAAAAAATCAACAATGAGGTACAACACTACTCTAAGGTCAAGTATTTAAAAGGGCTCGAGCTGCAGCTCATGACATGCACAGTATGGGTGTCTGATCCAAATGATCTTCACAAAATATTTGCTAAATATAAGAAGAGTAGGAGAAGGCCAGCACTGGACAGACAGGCTACTGAGACTGAAATAAATGCAGACTCGTCACATTTCACAAATAAAAAATAAAAAATATTTTTGAGTGCACAGGTATGATAATATTTCTCAACCAAACAGCTACTTTATTACACGCCTACACAGAGTAAAAGACAAGCAACGTTCAAATAATTATTGTGTTTCTGTTCAAATATAGCAACTTACAAAGAAGCACTATCATGCAATGCCGTGATTTAGTTTTAAACATGTGAGCAGTTTAAGCCGTTTCAAACGAAAACAGCTCAGGCAACCTCGTAAATTTTAAACCAATTCATAAAATCTTAACAGCATCAAATAATATCACTCTGTACCTGTAACATTTTGATAATATCTGGAAATACGAAAGCGCATCACTCCTGTGTGTCAACAACCACTGGGATGACAAAGTGTTTCCCTGAGCCCTTTAGATCTACTGCCTTCCTCTGCACTTCCTCCAGCCACAGCGGTCTGCAAAGTCCCTGCTCATCAACATTTTTAACTGAGCACCTCTACACCAGCTCACCGCACACGTCACATCTGGCATTGCGTCTCTAATGCGTCATCAATGCAGCACTGAATAATCAAAGTCGTCACAACCTGGCCAACCCTCTTAATTGTATTGACTGTGCAATTGTAGCCTACTTCAAATATTAAAAGTATATATTTTAAAAACTATACTTTTAGATAAGATATGAAATAAAAGGTCGTTTAAGTGTATAGAGCACACTTTCATGTTTTATTAACACACTTAAGTACACTTTTATTGTCACCATAAAATCAAAATGGACAAATCTTACTTTTTTTGTCAGACACAGACACAGACACACACACACACAGATCTCCTTCTGGATCTGTCACCGTTACTAGGAATAGTAATGGTGGAATTTTTGTGGAATATTGCAGTTTATTATAAACGATTTATTAGGGATTTAAAAAAAAAAAAATTCATATTCTCTTGTAATCTTTATTCAAAATAACTTTCCCTCTCCTTGCAGCAATAGCAAACGACAACGATCAAACGATCCAATCAATTCCTGACAGACTAAATCAAGTCCCACCCTGCATTTGTTTTCTTACGTGAGAAGCCATTTTCATTTGGATATAAACGTCACAATAGGGAGGAAATTTTGTCTGTATACTTTAACCATATTTCAAAGAAAATACATGTAATTATGAAATTACATATAAAGATGTACTCATGTCCTACTTAAGTGGGTCAAAAAAGCACTCTAAAGCTATACTATAAACTATAATACATTTTTATTCAATTGTAAATAACGTAATCAAGTTTAAAAAAATTACATTGTTCACACAGTTCTTTTTATGTATATTATTTCTGTAATTAGTACTTTTCAAGTCCAATTACTGTACTTTTTTTACAGTAAACTAAATGTACAACTTTTTCACAAGGGGAAAAGGAGCACACATTCTGGACATCAGGCCTTCTGTGACACACACACACTCACACTCACACACACACACACACACACACACACACACACACACTCATACTTGTATTTGTGGTTTATGGGGACTCTCCATAGGCGTAATGGTTTTTATACTGTACAAACTGTATTTTCTATTGCCCTACACCAACCCTACCCCTTACAGGAAACTGCTGGCAATGTTTGAATTTCATAAAACACCATTTTTGTATGTTTTTTAAGCCTTTTGTTTTACGGGGACACAGGAAGTGTCCTCATAAACCATGTTTACGTTGTAGTACCCATGTCATTATACACATTTGTGTCCTCATAAACCATATATACCTGTACACACTCTCACACTCTCACACTCACACTCACACACATCCGCAATCCTTCTGGATCTGTCACCATTACTAGGAAGGGACTGATGACAACTCAACCGTGAATTCCAACGATTCCCTGCACGACTGACCGAGAACCTCCTGAAGTTACTTCATGACTTCACATACTAATGGCTCTATTTTCTGCTTTTAGGATCAAACTGATTCCACCAAGAAATATTGATAGCCATCTCTAACCAGCTCTGACATCAAGTTACTCTCATTTACGGGCCGGGACGCATGGCCACATCCGGCCGTCCTGACTTACCCTCGACACTGTCGATACAGGACATGAGACACTGAAGGCTGGGGATATTTCAAGGCTGGTGGTATGAAGATGAGCAGATTAGAATAAAACTCAGGCTTCATCCTGATAGATAACTGAGTTAGATTCGTAGGTCACAGACCCCATCAGGTGACCACTGAAGCAGGAGACATTCTGCCTTTGAGCTCCATGTAATTCAATCTTTACCATCCGAACTGCTGATGTTTGAGACAACCAGCGCTGCATGAATAATTGACAGCGTAACAGATTGCTTTTGTCCCGTTAATCTAATTGCCATTTTTCACTCCCATTAAACCTGCAGCATTAGTGATCAGGCACATTTTATCATCCGTCACATCACAACAACATTCAGTGCTTTCTGAGGATGGGAAAGTGACATGTATTTGCATATGACTGACCGTCAGTGCCTGAAAGAAAACGCCAAATGAAAAGACTAAGTAGAATGACAAGATTTAAATAGACACTATTCATGTGATGTTGGCATTTTGGCATCCTGCGCTCACATTGACGGGCACATTGATAAAGTGGAATTGTCAGCAAAACAGCATGAGTACATTTCAAGGTGAGAGACATGAGCCGATTCATTCAACTCACATATGAGCACATCTCAATGCAGCCAAAGTCTGGCGGCAAACAGCGACGATGCCACAAATAAACATGAGTGATGAGCAAAGGAGAGGAGGGACAATTGCATTGCTGTGTAACCTTCATGCTTGTACTTGAGTCTTTTTACATGTTAATGAACCTGGTCACAAAGAAGGAAATTCAAGGTTTAGTTACGTGTTGACTGTAGAAGTGGTGGTGGTTGTTAAGGATTCAGCTGATAATGAGGAGTTGACACATAAATTGACTTTCCATGCATGGACAGCATCAAGATTTTAGTTTAAAACTAATATGTGACCCTGGACCACAAAACCAGTCATAAGGGTCGATTTTTTTTTATTTGAGTTTATACATCATCTGAAAGCTGAATAAATAAGCTTTCCATTGATGTATGGTTTGTTAGGACAATATTTGGCCAAGATACAACTATTTGAAAATCTGGAATCTGAGGGTGCAAAAAAATCAAAATATTGAGAAAATCACCTTTAAAGTTGTCTAAATGAAGTTCTTAGCAATGCATATTACCAATGAAAAAATAAGTTTTACTATATTTACAGTAGGAAATTTACAAAATATCTTCATGGAACATGATCTTTACTTAATATCCTGATGATTTTTGGCATTAAAAAAAATCGATCATTTTGACCCATACAATGTTTTTTTTGGCTATTGCTACAAATATACCCCAGCGACTTAAGACTGGTTTTGTGCTTCAGGGTCACATATGACTATAAATAGGAAAGTGTATATCTTATCTAAGCTTTTCACCATTGTTAAACACCTTTTCACTTCCACTATTTCATTATAAAGGGTGTTGTGGTGCGACAAAACGATATTTGAAAATACAAATATTCCACGTGTCTCTTAATTGTTATGTTCATAAAAGCAGCATGCAGGCTTAGTCCCATGAAGTGGAGTTACTGTCTGTGAGAATACCTGCAAGACGCAGTGAGTCTTAAAATAAATGCTGCCTAAAAATAGCTGTGTGGGGCCACTGTAGCGCATCCACTGCAATGCAGCAGTGCTCAGGGTCTCTTTCTCTGTGTGAGCATTTTGAGGGGTACTGCTGGATCGATTTGGTTCCATCTCATTTTTTTTTTTGCTTGTGAGAAGAAACCAAAGACGCTGTCTCTGCACAGACACTGCATCATGCTGCAGTGCAAACGTGCCACCTCTTCTGATGCAGCTGCTGCACCAGCACTTTCCTGTGTTGCTGATGATGGTGCTCCAGCAATGTCCTTTACTCAAATACACAGGGAGAAAATTCCATCTGAGTAGATATATTTAAGCATTCTGAAGTATACATTGTTCTTTCAGATGGGTTTAAATCTCAGATGTAAAAACAGTGTTCCCGATGTTGCTGGACAGACTGCTGAATCATACTGCAGGTTTATCGGTGACTCAGTGAGTGCTGTGCGTTCAAGGCACAGGCTGTCTGACATCTTAAAGCATTCCTCTTTCAAACAATGATTTAAAAGTTATGTGATACAACATCTGCAATGTACAGTACTGCTGTTAGCCTAAAGTCCTAGAATCAAGCCGTGTACTAGATCATGTGCCACACAGCATGTTAGCAGAGGACATGAACTCAATATTTAAACACAAATGAAACACAGATAGGCTACCGGGTAACATAGTTCATGCTATTTGTCTTCTTACTGCAATTAATATAAATGGAGGCTGCAGCATTCAAGCTACAAAAAGAAGCACCATTGTACCAAAATTGTACATTGTATTGTTATGGAAAGGAACAATCAACATTATGTCTGAATGACTGAATTTTCACTTTTGGGTGAAATGTCACTTTCTGTTTCCAGAAAGAACCCATTTATTCTGATAGTAGATAGTAAAACATAGTAGAGCTCTATTTCAGAAAGGCTGGATGAATCTCTACATGACACACTGTTGCTTCAACACCAGAGAAAGCCTAGAATAGCAAAACTCAAAACTGACGTTGTTCCTCAAATGTTGGTTCTGGTGTGGCAGGTTTCAGGAACTCGAGAAGTGTGTCTGTGTACACCAGGTCATATCAAACAGTCCTGGCCTCTCTCAGCGTTTACACGATTCATTTTGCACATGCCCAG